ATTACTAGAGACAAAGAGAGACATTACCTGATGACAAAAGAATCGATCCAGCAAGAAGACATAATGATCCTTAATGTGTACACACCAAATAGCAAAATCTCAAAATTCATGAACAAAAACTAATCAAGTGGCTGGATGCGGTGGCTCACGCCTATAATCCCAGCACTTTGGGAGGCCAAGGTGAGAAGATTGCTTGAGCCCACGGGTTCGAGACCAGCCTGGGCAACTTGGTGAGACCTCATCTCTACAATAAATAAAAAAAATTAGCCAACCTTGGTGGCACATGCCTGTAGTCCCAGCTACTTGGAAGGCTAAGGTGGAAAGATCACCTGAGCCCAGCAGGTCAAGGCTGGGGTGGCTGTGAGCATGCCACTGCACTCCAGCCTGGGCAACAGAGTGAGACTCTTACACAAAACAAACAAACAAAAAAGAAACTGATCGGAGAAAGACACAAGTCCACAATTATAGTTGGGAGCTTCAGTACTCCTCAGAAACTGATAAATCTACTAGACAGAATATCAGCAAAGATATTAAGAAGCTGAGAAAGACAATCAAATTAATAGGATCTACTTGAATATTTTTATGATTTAATCTCAATTCAATTTACTCAGTAGCTTTAAAGTCTATTTCTTGATATAGAACGCTCCACCCAACAATAACAGAATGCACTTTTTTCCCAAGTATTCATCAAGATAGACCATGTGCTTGGCTGTAAAACAAACCTAAACAAAGTTAAAATAATTGAAATCATACAGAGTATGTTCTCTGACTGCAATGGAATGAAACTAGAAATCAGCAATAGAAAAGTCTCTAAACATGTGGAAATTAAAGAGCACACTTCTAAATAATCCGTGGATCAAAGAGGACGTCTCAAGGGGAATTTTTAAAAAACTACTTAGAACCGAATGAAAATGAATATACAACATATTGAAATGTGCAGCATGCAGCTAAAACAATGCTGAGAGAGAAATTTATAACACTAGATGTTTACATTAGAAATAAAGAAAGGTTTTAAGTCAATAATTTAAATTTCTACATCAAGGAGCTAGAAAAAGAAGAACAAAATAAACTCAAAGCAAGCAGAAGGGAGAAAAGTCAAAATCAATGGAATTGAGATAGGAAAATTATAGGGAAAAATTAATAAAACATAGGTTTGTTTTTTTGGAAAAATTAATAAAACTGACAAGTCTCTATCAAGACTAATAAAGAGACACAAATCGCTAATATCAGAAATGAAATATGGCATATCATTATAGACTCTGTAGTCATAAAAATGTAATGAGGGAATGCTATGAAAAACTTTACATTCAAATTTTGACAACTTAGGCAAAAAGGGGCCAAATTCTAAAAAAAAAAAAAAAAAGGCAAGCTACTAGAACTCACCTGATGTGAGACAGATAATCTGAATAGCTCTATAAACATTAAAGAAATTGAATTCATAATTTTAAAAGCTTTTACAAAAGAAATCTTCAGGCCTAGATAGTTTCAGTGAATAATTTTACCAAACATTTATGATTAACATCAATTTTTCACATTGTCTTCCAAAAAATAGAAGAGGAGGGAACAATTCCAGCTCATTTTATGAGGTCAATGTTACCCTGATATTAAAATTAGACAAAAACAGAAAACTAAAGACCAATATCTCTCATAAACTTTGGTGCAAAATTCCCTAACAAAATGCCAGTAAATTGAATCCAACAATGTGCGAAAAGAATTATACATCATGACCAAGTGGGATTTATTTCAGGTTTGTAAGGTTGGTTCAACATTCAGAATGTATTCTGTGTAGTCTATCATATCAACAAGCTAAAGACAAAATATTATCATATTAATTGATGCAGATAAAGCATTTAACAAAATCTAACACTCATAATAATAAGTTTTTAAAAGTCTTAGTGAGTTAGAAATAGTGAGTGTATTTGTTTTCCAGTGCTGCTGGAACAAATTGCCACAAACCGGGTGGCTTAAAACAAGAGAAATTTATTCTCTCCCAGCTCTGGAGTCCAAAAGTTTTGTTTTTATTTTTTAAATGTGGGGTACAATTCGGGATTAGGTACATAAGTGGCCATTGTACAGGTGAAGTTTGGGCCTCCCATTGGTCCTCACTTCACCTGGTTTGGGATCAGTTACCCTTACTGATGTTATGTGCCCCCTTCTTCCCTCCCCTGGCAATGTCCTGCTACTGTCAATCTCTTTAATACAGTATTATGATAAATGTTCAGGGTCCACTTATGCATGAGAACGTGTGGTACTCAGTTCTTTGTTTCTGTGATAGATAACTGAGTATGATAAACCAAAAGTTTTAAATCAGACTATTGATAGGTTTGTTTCTTCTAAAGTCTCTGAGGGAGAATCTGTGCCACGAGTCTCTCCTAGATGACTGTTGGCAATTCTTGGTATTCCTTGGCTTCACTCCAATCTCTGCTTCTGTCTTTACATGGCCTTTCCCTCTATATGTCTGTGTGTCAAATCTTCATTTCCTTATAAGAGCAGCAGTCATTGGATTTAGAGCCCACCCTAAATCCATAGTGATCTCATCTCAAGATCCTCAACTTTAATTGCATCTGCAAATATTCTATTTCTAAAGGTCACATTCACAGGTATTAGAAGTTAGGGCTTGAACTTATATTTTTGGTGGACCCAATTCAACCCACTACAGAGAATTGCTTCAACTTGTTAAAGAACATCTACAGGTAATCTACGGGTAACATTGTACTTCATGGTGAAAGACGGAATGCTTTTCCCCCAAATGCTTTTCTCCTAAGATTGAGAACAAGGTAAGAATGTCTACTCTCACCTCTTCTATTCAACATAGTACTGGAAGTTATAGCCATGGCAATTAGGCAACAATGATATATTACTACACATCTACTAGAATAGTTAAAGTAGAAAATAGTGGCAACACTAAATGCTGGTAAGGATGCAGGGAAACTGGATCACTCATGCATTATTTATGGGAATGTATAATGGTACAGTTACTCTAAAAAACTGTGTTTTTTATATAAAATTAGACATGAATCTAATATATGACCCAGCAATTGCACTCTTGGACATTTGTCCCAAATAAATGAAAATTTATGTTCACACAAAAATCTGCACATGAATGTCTACTGGAGTTTTATTTAATAGCCAAAAACTGTAAATAGCCCAGGTGTCCTTAAATGGGTGAATGGTTAAACAAACTGTTATATATGCCATCTAATACTACTAAGCAATAAGAAACAATAAACCACTATTTTTAAGGTAAGTATGCTGAGCAACAGAGCCAATTCCAAATGTTATCCTGATTCATTTACATAACATTTATGAAATGACAAAATTTTAAAAGTGGAATGCAGATTAATAATTGCCAATGGTTGGGAACAAAAAGGGGGTGCAGGAGGAAGTTGAGTGATTATGACAGGGCAACATGTGGGATCTTTGTGCTGATGGAACTGTCAATATCTTCACTAGGGTGGTGGATACATGAACCTACACATGTGATAAAATTGTACAGAACTAAATGCACACAGACACACAGGAATAAAACTGGAGAAATATGAATAAGGCCAGTGGGTTTTATCAATGCCAGTATCCTGGTTGTGATATAATACTATAGCTTCACAAAATGTTACCATTGGTGGGAACTGGGTAAAATATACATGGCATCTGTCTTATTTCTTAGAACTACATGTGAACATATGACTATCTCAATAAAAATTTCAGTGAAAAATTATTGAGGACCCCAAAGAGTTTTTGATATTTTATTTTATTTAATTAATTAATTAATTAATTAATTAATTTATTTATTTATTTTTTGAGTTGGAGTCTCACTCTGTCGCCCAGACTGGAGTGCAGTGGCCGCTCCCGGCCACCGCAGCCTCGACCTGCTGGGCTCTGGCGATCCTTCCGCCTCAGCCTTCCGAGTAGCCGGAATTACAGGCGCGCGCTACCACGCCCAGCTGATTTTTTGATTTATTGTAGAGATGAGGTCTCGCTGCCCAGGCGGGTCTCAAACCCGCGGGCTCAAGATGTGGGGTACAATTTAGGATTAGGCATACAAGTGGACATCATATAGGTAAAGTTTGGGCCTCCCTTTGGTCACCACTTTGCCTGGTTTGAAATCAGGTACCCTTATTGGTGTTGTGTCCCAACCCCCACCCTGGCAGTATCCTGCTACTGCCAATCCCCTTCTGATAGTATTATGGTAAATGTTCAGAGTCCGCTTATGAGTGAGAACATGCGATACTCTGTTCTTTATTTCTGTGATAGATCACTAGGTATTAGAGACTTTATAAAGAGCTTTTCCTAGATGAGTTATTTTTAATCTATGTTTACTGTGTCAGAAATTATAACTGAGAAAAAATAATAGAAAAATACACAAGCACATATTCCTTTAGCCAGCAGAGCAATGACACCATTACCTTTCATGTAGCTTCTGGAAAACTCCATCGTACACTCCTGATAGGATGACAATGAAAAAGAAATAAATAACATCTTAGTATTTTGAATGTAATTTTGATCTTGCGCCCCCTTCCCGCAAATGATCTTAGAGATCTTAGAGATAGGATTACCAATTTGTCTTGGTTTGCCCAGGATTTTCCTTGTTTTAGTATTGAAAGTTCTAGCCAAACAGGTAAGTTTTGGCTGACTTACTCAATTTTAAAACTTAAAGTTCCACATTCTTGGTCCTGGGAAAACTGGGTTTGTTGTTCTTCACACTTACAGACATTTTTGAATCCCTGGACAAGACTTTAAGAACTTCTGTGTAAGGGTATCTTTACACAGAAGAAATTCCCAGTTCAGTGTTATGACCTCACTGTCACCTAGGATTTGAATATCTTCATATTGCAATTTGTCAGAAACTTCCCCAATTGCTTGCTCAGTTCTCCTGTGTGGTTCATTCTATCTTCTTCTCCTCACCTTAGGTTCCTTAAATAAGACGTCTTTGGAAGTGTTTTGTGATGAAAAGCGTCATCGGAATGTGTATACCATTATCTTTTTGATGATTATCTTTTCAGGTCAGGTTAGTGTGGTGCAAGTGACCATACCAGATGGTTTCATGAATGTGACTGTTGGATCTAATGTCACTCTCATCTGCATCTACACCACCACTGTGGCCTCCCGAGACAAGCTTGCTATCCAGTGGTCTTTCTCACATAAGAAGGAGTTGGAACCACTTACCGTAAGGATTCTGTTCCTAAACTCTTCCCCTTTTGCAGTTCTGGCGGAAAACTGTTGGGGTAGATGTGTGAAGGAATGTAATACCAGTGACAACAGTGGCAAGAACCTCAGATACAAAGAGTTTGAAGAGTTGTTTACAGAAGATCATCATAATTCTCTGCAGGAATGGTCCTTTTCATAGGTGAAATGATTAATACTTCTGAAAGCCCCCCTCAATATCGCCTTATTGTTTCCCAAAGAACCCAGTTCAAATGAAAGTCCTGATTGATCTACAGATCTCTGCCTGGGATCTGCCAGTCAAGTGAGCTAGCTTACTACGGCATACTGAGACTTGACAGGATGAGACTCCCCTGATGGATAGAGAAGGGCCATAGAAGTGAAGAACCATGAATAATTAAGAATAGCTTAAGGCTAGGGGATGTGGGATAGAGTGGGTACCCGTAGGGTCTGGAGGAAGAGGTTTTCAGAAAAGGGTGGGTAAAAGTCAAGGGAGGAGAATGATTCCACATGCAAGCTCTCTATTCTCAGGTTTCCTTCATCTGGCCTTGAGAGAAATTCCTCCTTTAAATTAGCTTCCAAATTAAAATTGTTTACTCAAAAGTGTGCACATGTATATGTGTGTGCGCGTATGTACGTGCATGTGTATGTGAGCATGTATGCCATTGCATGCCTATATACATCCCTTGAGGGAAAAGATCTATAACTTTCATTATGTTCTCAAAGGGCTGCATGACCCAAAACAAAGTTTGGAGAAGAGAAAAATTAATATGGTCTGAAATATTTGGATGCAGCTGAGTTGGGCCTTGAAGGGAAGGAAGAGTTTTGATTAATAGAAAGGTAGAGGGAGAGCATGTTGAGTAGGCTGGGGGAGGACTAGGGCAGACGTGAAGAAGAAGGAAGACATTAGCTCATAGAGCCACTTGGCTATTGTCATTTCAGCCATCACTGGTCCTTTGCAGGTGCTGAGTGCTTTCTCTACTGGAGATCCTGAACATTTATTTAGCAGGAAACACCATTCGGGGGGATTCCATCAATACTACACTCTAGTCAAAGTTAAACAATTTTGCTCCCTACTATTATCCTGAACAAATATATGATTTACTCTGTGCCTCTCTTTAAAATATGGTAGAAGAACATAATCATGGGGAAGCAACTGACATAATGTGTATGAAAACACTCAGAGGAAATATAAAGCCCTATAAGTTGTATCCCTTGTAAGCACCACTATGATTAACAGCAGCAGCAGCATGACCCCCACCATCAACAATGATTCTACCAGTTTCCATCACCCAAAATGTCCTGATCTAAGACCTTGCATGTTGGAGTCAACTAAGAAATTATCACTTTCTTTTGCAGCTTTCTCTCAGTTACATTTTGAACAACAATAATCACATGATCTTTCTGTCTTTTATAAATTCAATTTCCTGACTAGTCTTTTCAATGCTTTCTTTATCTGTGGGCTTGAAATCCTTCTCAGTTTTCTAGTAGGTGCTGAATTTAGAGAGGCCTTGCCAAGGTATTTGAAATGTTTTCTACTTGATACTCAAGTCAAGATATTCTCAACTGCTTAGAGGCCAGGTAAGGCCAGTCTAAGTTCAAAAACACAAATTCTTCTTTATGCCTCTTCTGACACTGGAAGTTAAAAGCCCACAGTTGAACTGTGTAGCTAGTGAAGAGCTGGGAGGGAGCTGCAAGGTTAAAGGATCTTGTGACCAGCAATTAGCTTTTTCTAGACCTGGAGATGCAAGGGAAGAAGGTATAGATGATTGAACTAAGTGTGGCTTGAGCCCATGACATCTCCTGGAAGCACTTTAAAAATAAAATCTATCGCTTCTCAGTCTTTTGGCTAAGATCAAGTGTAAAAATAAAATCTATTAACGAATAAGTATTTATTCAGTAGCTTTTTTACTTGTCATTCACCTAATTATCCAAAATGTCAGGTACAAATGTAATTTAAGATGTCTTCTCTTTTGGTATATCCAAATTGAAGGAGGGTCTCTTCACTGAGCGGCTGGATTAGGGAGAACATGCATCCTTATATGAAAGCTGCATGAGACCTACACTATGCCTGTGGCTTAGCCACATGGAAGACAAGGTAGAGCAGGGATAGCTATTGGCTTGGGGACAGTGAAGACAGACAAACCCCCAAAGGCATACTTTGTCCTCATCCTGTTTTTCTGTCTTACTTCAGGCTACCCTTGCCAAATTGCCATTATAACCATCTTGGAAATCTTCTAAGAGAACTGGAGTTCTTTCCCTCTCTCCCCGAACCCTACAGGCATGGGCTTCTCTCTGCTTTTCCAAATGAGTAGTTTTGGAACTCCAATGAAAACCTTCTGATGAATGTCTACTCCTTGCTCTGCCACTTACTTACAGGCTGGGTGATCTCAGCCAAGTTACTTGACCTTTCAGAAGTTCAATTTCCCATCTGTAAAATGCGGCTGCTTACCTACCTTATAGGTTTAATGTAAAGATTAAAAGAGATGATGCTTGTGAAACACTAGGAAGCCTCCCATACAGTAAGTATTTAATGAGTGTGAGCTATTATTATTAACATCATCACTGTAAAGTGGTGATTTTGTAAAATCCCTATTCCATCCATGCCCTTGGTGTCCCAGAGAGACTGGGTCATGGGTACTAAGGAGCCCAGCCCAATAAGATACACTTAATACAGCTGAACAGTGACAGAGCTCTTCAGATACATGCTAACCAAAGATTGGCTTCCACTTCCACTGCCTGCCAGGTCCCTGTGGCTAAGGAGAGGGCCCAGACCCTTTGCCTGCTTCTTATCCCTGAACAGAGCCCCTGCTCAACCAAGAGGTTGCAGATATCCTGGGTTGAGGTTATGTTTTTCAAAATGGAATTTGGTCTCCATTTCAAGTCCGTTTCCTCTTTGAACATTTCCATGCACTCAAAATTCTGTAGCACGTGTTGTATGTTAATTTAGGGATTGCTGGTGGGACATTTTGGGGGTGATAAAAACAGACTACTGTGCTATTAGACAATTCTATGACTAAGATGTTGCCAGACTGACCACTGAGTGATTCAATTCAACTCCTGGGTTAATGTGGCAGTATACCATATAGCATTCAGCTCTCAGATCCACTCATTTCTGCTCAAACACAGCACAGCCCGTGCCTCAATACTGAGGGTATGGAGGAAAAGGCAGTCAGTCAGTGTCTAAAAATGGTGCATGCAAGAGACGCCCGGGGAAGATGTAGCTGGACCTCTCAGGTAAGAACACCTGTCGGTGTACTGCTGGACTCCATTCATTGTTTGGCGACTCCAGGGCACTGGCACCAGCTTTAGGAGTGAGATGGGAGGGTCTGACTTTGGTAACGATCTACATTAACATAAGCTACTGGCAAAACCAGTAGTCTTGAGTTTACTTCCTCACATTCATGTCTGGAACTCTTTCCAGCCACTTTCAAAAGACCCGAGACCCTATTGTTGCCTTGATCAGGGCCAGCTCTTGTCATAGGCCCATCTTCCCCTTCCTGAAATCATTGTGTTAAATTCGCATTTGGCTCTGAAATCTGGTGTTTCTCAATACCCAGGGCCAGATGTTATTTCTTATTGACCATCCCCTCCAAAGGGTTCCTTTGGTGAATGGAGATTGAAGAAGTATCCCACAAGCCTCTGACCAAGAGGATCAGTATACTCATTAGCATGGTCCTTCTCTCAGAAAATATTAACAGCTTCAGATAATCAATCCCTCAACAGGGAATCTCAGCTGAAAACTCTAGGCCAAGTATAGGCAGGCTAACACAGACGTTTGGTCTTATAGATGCCTGTCTGGTCATACAGATGGCCTCTTCTTCCACCCAGCCTGTTATTGGTAAAACTATAGAGAACTAACCTTCTCAGGAACAAAACATGCATTAACCCTGCTTAACATCAATCTCTCAGACAATACTTACTCTTCTAGAATATTCATTGTGGAGGAAACCCTCTGCCATCCTAATATCGTCAACACATACACAATTTGGATAACTTCTTTCCCAGGACCTAGTGTCATTATGCTCTCTGGATTCTCAGATTCTGCATCCTGACCTGTCCTCCACAGGTAGTATTATATTAAATACTTTTCTAATGTCGGTGGGTGGGGGGTGCTCTGTCTCCTCAAGAGCATTTGAAAATAGAGGCAGGATTGCTGGTTTGATTGTTATAACTGGGAATCACTACTGGCATTAGTTCATAGTGGTTAGAGATGCTAAATGTCTTACAATACACAGGGAAGTGCCATACAACAAAGAATTGTCTATCCAAAATGCCAGTGTCATATCCATTGAGAAACACTACAAGTTCTTCCTTCCACTCAACGTCAAATTTAGTTATTCTGTGTCCCATTCCCTCAGTAGTCTATTCCTGCTAAATCTATAATATAATAAATTAATCTACTACTAAGGTGTTAGGGACTGATTAGTGATAACTTACTTTGTTTTCTTCCAAAGAAATGCTTTTAAGTAGGGACCCTCCATGTCTTCATCCAAAAGTGGCAACTCAAATGATAGGTACTTAGGCAAATGGCAGGCTGATCAGAGAGTGATTTGGGGGCAGGAGAGTTGTTTTTTTTAATATATATATATTCTACTTCTTGCATGTGCAACCCCAGATCCCCTAGTACAGCCCAGAGAAAATTCTGGACTTGAGATCATTGCCACCTTATACCTGTATCCCACCACTTATGGCTTGTCCTTCTATGAACAGTACAGGAAAGCAAGAAGCTGAAAGGAAAATAATGGGCGGTTTGCTGTGGACTTCCATGCCCTCCACATTCTCAAAAGGAACCTGCAAAAGTTCCTATGGAAGCTAACAGTACTTAGTAACTCCAACTCAGACACACATAGAAAGCAGCCTGAGTAATTTCAGTTCTTCTTGTCCATCCTCCAAGCCTCTTGTAAGAAAGCAGTGTCACAAAGCTGAGAAAAAATATCTTAGGACAAATCTGGCTCCCAGCTGCACTGCCTCGCGTGAATGGGAACTTGGCACAGTAGGAAGGGAAAGGCTGCTCTGCAAAGAACTGAGGGGCCTACAGTTGCAGCTGGCAAATATTGAGTGCATGTGGTGAACACACTTATCATGGGAAGCATCATGCCAATGAATAGCAGCAATTGGCAGGAGAAAGGTTGGGCTGGAGTAGGGGATGGAAGGGCTTCAAAGGGGGAAGGTTGCCCAGGAATCGTCTTTCTCATCTCACACAGAACTATGAATGCCATCTTAATGCATGCAGTGGGAATCAGGAGGATTGGATTCCAGGTCTGACTGTAAATTGATTGTGAAACCTTGGGAAAATCACTCCCTCTATTGGGGCTTCAGTGTTCTTCTTAGTAATAGAAGAGGGTGAATTAGAATGTGCTAATTGAAGGCCTCTGGACCAAATTTGGCCGTGAACATATTTTGTTTGTTTGTTTCAACAGTTTGATTGCTTTGTTTGCATTGGCTGTCTAGTTCACCACAGCTTCCACTGTCCCTTATGATCTTACCATTACCCACCAGTCCCTCCCAGTCATTCCCCATATTTCCATTATCCATCTGTCTCCTGAAGTCTCCTTAACTTTACAAACTATGAACCAGCCATTGCTTTGCTAAACTCTGGTGTGTGCACGTGGCTCTCTAAGCTACCACCACCATGTTTCTTAGCTTTGGCCCCCTCCCCTACCTAGGGTAGGTGAATCTCTCTCTGGTGCGCGCTCTCTCTCTCTCTCTCTCTCCTCTTTCTTCTAAGTTACTTTCTAAATAAACTATATTTTCCAATCTAAAAGAAAAAAGAAACTATGAACCAAGTGATGCTAAGAAGTCTTATAACTAATGTGCTATTATGACTTCACACATCTGCCTCTAGGATTACCCAGAGAGGCAGGCAGAGAGGACATTGAGAGAAAGAAGGGCAGTCTGTTATGAACACAAGCACAAATGGCAAGTGAGTAAAAAATCAACAAGTACCACTTAAGAAAACACTTGGATGGATTTTATTAAAGAAGGACTCCCCCACCCACCCAAAGATGTGGCCTGTTGCACATCTATGGCTTTTCCTAGACCTCAATTGCTTTGATCACTAAGTTGACAATATTCCTTCTTTGAAAAGTATACAAGCTATACAGAATCATGGGCTGGGGCCTTGGCCCCAGTTCACTTTGATTTTTAAAAGTTATTCCTTTTTGGAAATGAAGCCAAGTTGTAGTCTTTCCTGTGTAATTAGATAAGCAGTTTCAGGGAAACATTTCTTTCTTTTTTTTCTTTACAAAGACAGTGTGACAGTATGTACTTCCCCCTAAAAGAAAGTCCCTCCATCAATGTATCTGGGCACTGTCTACCCTTTGGCCTTTCCTTCTCATATAGCACCTTGTAGCCAAGGCCTTGCCCTTTTAGGTCTCTATTGTTATCCCATCTTACCCTCATTCCTATCCCTGATACCTCATTCCTATCTCTGATAACCTTTAGTGTCATTCATGAGAGGGCAAAATTTATTAGACTACAGTGTGAGGAACTGGAATAGAAGGGGTGGTGAAAGCCCTTTTCATAGGTAATTAAGGGTCCAGGGCCTCATTGCTTATATGTTCACTTCACCTTGATTCAGGGCCAACTATGAGGCTTCTACAGTGAGTTCTTTTCAAGTCCTAGTTCTAGTCTAAAACACACTCTCTTGACCCCCTGATCGCTATAGAAACAAGGTCCTTTGCACATGGCTCCTCTAGGACTTACTGGGGGGCCTCAGGCAGCACTGATGTTGTGTCTCATTGTGATGCCATTAAGCATCAGCATAAAGCAGGGCTAATATTTTACAGTGGCCACAGTCTCCTTGGGAGCAGGGGAAGTGGCCAGATGTTAAGGCAATAAAGGGCTCTCTTGATGGACTGCAGATTGAATTTCAGGTAAGAAAAAAACAGAACCTGAAACTGTCAATTAGAAAGTAAATAAGTTTAGTGTTGGCTAGTGAAATTGAAAGCAAGATAGTGTGAATGTCAACTCAAATGAAGGTAACAGACCACTGATTAGTTGAACCTCTTTTTGTCTCACTTGAATACCTCGAGTTAATACTGACTTTTTGGTTTTGTAAGTCAAACAAGACTATTCTGGGGCAAAAGTTTGAGATTTTTAGTAGGTGTGAATGAATAAATTATAAATAGCTGCATTTAGGGCAGAAAAGAAAGCATGTTAATGTTAGAAAAACCAGAGGAGAGAGACAGGTTTTCTCCTTAAATATGCTCTTTTAAAAAATTTTTTTCCCTCAAAACCTACCTTTCTGCCTTAGTTTAAAAATATGTTGAATTTTTGCTTAAAGGAAAATACCTTTGAATCCATCTAGACAATATCTTTCAATTTTCTAATTTTTCCCCCTTTTCATTGGCCTATTACAGTAAAGCACACAGGACAAGGAATTAGGAAAACTGGATTCTAGACCTGTCCCAACTGTTAATTTTGTGTCTGTATTTTTTAAGCTCTCTGGGATTTTTGTTTGCTTGTAAAGTGAGAGAAGTGAATTAAATGAGCTGAAAGGCCTTCTAGAAGATTTTATAAAAATATTCATTAGTCTCACTGGACTAGGGCAATACTAGTTTATTGAACAATAAGCAATCACTTGAATAACACACACCGTGAAACTAAAAAAAATGTGTGCATAGAAGGTGTATATTATGAAGGGACCTCTGGGATGACCTAGTCCAGTGATTTCTAAGCTTCAGTCATTTGTGTAAATCCACATGCTTTTTGTCCTATTTGTGTATTTAATATTATTTTCTGTATTGACTTGGTTTCTTAAAATCTTAAAAACTATATACCCTAGGGTATATAGGATATACCCTTTATAACCTAGTCTCACCCTAAGCAACAATATCCATGAAGTCATAAATTTGATGTGCTAAATATGTCTCTAATACACATTATAATTTGTAAGTTTTCACGTATGTGCCACCTACAATCAATTTAAGTACCTATACTTGGGAAATACATATCTTACTTTGGAAAACATAGCTCTGGTTTCTTGTTCAGATGTGTAAACTAAAGGTTGGAGCGATTAACTTTATTTCTTATCTAAAAGCAGGTTGCCATGGAGACATGACTAGAGGCCACCTACTCTGGCTATGTCACAGTGAGAGGCAGAGCTGTGGCTCTCAGGCCACCTGACTTCTAGACCAAGTGTCTTTCCACCACATCATACTACTCCCACAGTTGCCATTGTAATCTAAGTATTTGTGTCCTTTAATGGAGATGGGACTAGAATCCAGATCTTTCTTAAGTTTAGTAAATTAAAATAGTAATAAATGAATCTTTGTGGCTTTAATGAGTCATTTAATGTCTCTGGGTGTGACATCCCTTACTTGTCTGAAAGAATTCCATTTCTGCCTTCTGCCACATGGGGAGAAAGATGGTAGCTTCTATTGACTAAGCACTTCCTAGGCCCTTTAGTAGATTCCTTTATTTCATCCTTATAACACCACTAGGAGGAGATGAGACCAGATTATTTCCCAGGTGCCTTTCTAATCTGAAATCTTACTCTTTTAACAAACAAAACAAACCCAAGTTTGCTTATCCAAAGGACTGTGTATGAACATTCAAACGTTAAGAGAAACCAGATAGTCTCATTGGTTAAGGTAAAAAAAAAAATTTTAAGTTTATAAAATAGTAAACTAAAAGTGATGGTTTTGGTTTCCCATCAGGACATTTGCATCATAGAAGAGTTTCTTCCAGGTAGACTCATCAGGTGAGCATCTGGATCTCCTAGCCCAAGCTTAGGAGTTGAATCCTGTCAGCTCCAGCTATCTGTAAGATAGGTGTACCAATCCCTGTGCTGATGACATCACAGAGGCCCAAATGAGGTAACAGCTTTGAGGCCCAAATGAGGCCCAAATGAGGTCCCAAATGAGGTAACAGCTATGGGCAGCTATGAGAAAATTAAAGTGCCCCATCGAGTTGAGAAACTTGAGCACAGGGACCTGTTCCTCATAGGGGAAAGATGCTGTTTCTTATCCCAGGTAACAGATAGAAGGAGCTTCCGGGTAGTTTATCCTAGTACTGGACACTTTCTCCAGTTCTCATTTCTGTTATTTTTCTGTCCTAGATTTACTATTCTGAAGGTGGACAAGAAGGAAGCTCTGGGCAATTTAAAGATCGAATTATAGGGTCCAACGATCCAGGTAATGCGTCCATCACTATTTCGCATATACAACCAGCAGACAGTGGAATTTATATCTGTGATGTTAACAACCCCCCAGACTTTGTCGGCAAAAATCAAGGCGTCCTCAATGTCCGTGTGTTAGGTAAGGGCACTTTTTTCTGCCTTTTCTTTTCTTGGAGCAACTTAAAACACTGAATGAGTTAGGACAGTGAGCTATGATACCAATTGAATCTCTAGAGGTAAACATCTTCCCTGCTCCTTTCATTTTCAGAGAAATGGAGACAAGCGATCAACTCAGCCCATACAGTAACACTGAGAACTCACCCATAAAACATGCGGAAACAATTGCCCAAGCAAAAGAACTGCCAAAATGACAGCAGTAGATGACCCAATCTCCAGGGATTCCTATCTCTGACAGATGGAACAAACCACTGTCCCACTAAATGATCACTAGCAACTCTTTCAGAGGAAACTTTCAATTAGAACCAGACCTACCTAGGAGAGGCAACTGCCAACTTATTATTCCTTCTAAGCTTGCCACAATTCCTATCATTAAATCATTATTTTGAACAAAGGCAAGAAAGTCCCTTTTTCAAATGCTAATGCTATTTGGAAGAAAGGACCACACATTAAGCTAGTGTGGAGAATCAAGTTATTTATATACAAACATTCATTATATGATATTGGGCAAGCCCCATATGCTCTTAAAATGAATGTGAAGTTTATTTTTCTTTATTGAGTGTCTACTTTGTGCTAGGAGCAATGAGGTTTACAGTGATGGAGGTGTGGTTTATGCCTTTGGGAAACTCCCAAGTTTAGCAATTTCTAGGGGTCCTTCCAACCTCTGAGAGGACCACAGGGGCTAAAGCTCCTGCCTGCAGGCCCTGGAGGTAGGAGGTACCAAAGGGAGGGGTGAAATGGTTGCCAACCCTTACTGACTAACTGATCTCCTGTTTTCCCACTTCTAAGTAGCCCCAAATGGAGTTTATCTAGTCATTGCTTCTCTCAGCTGTGTGGTATGTCATAGGAAAGGAAGAACTAGATCAAATCAGTGACTTAATAATCGAGTAGCTTGGAAAGGTAACAAATTGGTTACAAGGAACACACCTAGGAGAGCTGTCCAGAGTTGTCCTGGCTTGCTACCCAGGTGACGCAAAGAAACCAGCTGATATCGATTGTGAGGTTTGCCACTGCATCTACCCACCTCGAAATGAAGGAAGGTGTACAAGAACTCATTCTAAAAAGTGGATTAGCTCAATCAATCACATTTTATTTTGTTGAGCCCTGTGCTAGACATTGGGGTACAAGGGCAGACAAGAGAAGCACTACTCAAGCACTTTTCTAGAATAGTTTATGTTCCAGTTTGGAAGACTAGTCACATACATGGGAACTGAATGGTGTAGTATAAATGCCAAAGCATCAAAGTAGGAGCCAGAAGATCTAAGTTCTAGGTTATACCCTGTACTCAGTGACCTCATGCAACTCAGTCCGTCTTTCTCTGATCATTTTGAGATTGGGTTGTAATTTCTGCCCTGTCTTCTTTACTGGTTTGTTATGAGGCTCAAATGAGATACTAGAGATCAAAGGGTTTTTTAATGTTCAAAACATTAGAGGGATTAATCTGCTAATGATTTTCTGTTGCTCCCTGGCCCTCGGGTGCTCTGACCAGATACAACCTAAAGAAGTCAAGCCTCTTCATCCCAGGGCTTAGAAATAGTCCTGAGATAAAACTAAACAAGAAGGTTAATGTTCTTAAGTTTAAAACTCAGAGAATCCCAAATCAATTTCCATAAGAAGCTGAGAGTCACCTCTTCCCAGTGTCGTTCTTTCCCATGAGTCTTTGGGTCAGGTAGTTCCAGCCATGATTGTGTCATGACTTTTCCTTAAGTAGTCAGAACCCTGGCAAGATAAAAGGCAGAAGTGTCTGTGGATTTCCTTGTTTGTTTTGGAACCATCAAAATTTATTTTTATTAATTGGCCAAATAACAAAGGCAGCCTCCAAATTTAGGTTTTCTGGAAATTTTGACATTGTTAATTTTCTCTTAAAATTGTATTGACTATATACAGTTCTGAAATCCCATTATATAAGAGTGCATATTTTGCTTGCCTTGATTGAGGAGTGGGACAAGATGGGGACAGGTGAGGAAAGGTATTGATATTTCCTTAAAGATGGCTCTCATACCTATGTGTCTTTTAGAGACGTTTTATTACCAAGCAATGGACGTCGACTCCATGCATTCACTTGTTCATGCATTCATTCATTCAGTCAAGCACATGTGCCAGTTACTGTGCTAAGCAGTGGGCATGGAAAGATGTAAAAGAGTGCCAGCCCTCCAAAATTTATTGTAGTGAAGGAGACGTGTAACGTAAAAGCTTACAGTGGAGCTATAAGAGGAGAGTCGTGAGAACACAGGGGAAAGAGTAAAAAGTTGTATCAGGGGAACTAGAGAAGGATTATTGAGAAAGGTTACTTTTATGCTGAATGAAGGATGTGCAAGAGTATGTCAGGCAGATGAGGGGCTGAGGTGGCAAGACACTATTTAGGTGAAGGAAACAGCAATGAACAAAGAACCAAGTGGTTTGGACAGCCATTCATTTGAGATATTTCCATTAGGTATGACAACCTTGGAAAATTAATCTCTGAAAAATACCTAGATAGAGTTTGAATAATTATTTTGTGTGCATTTGGAATGAGCATCATCTACCTTCTGCAATTTGGCACATATTCGTAAAAAGAAAATGATTAATTTAGAAAAGGTTTGAAAATACACTTTTCATTTCTTTTCTGAGGTGAGCCTTTTTCTCCCACCCCAATTCTGTTGAACCAATAAAACTAAATGATAGATCAATGCATTTGCCAGTAAAACACCCAAATTCTACTGGTGACTTTAACTGGATTAAATGTCAATTCAATTCTTACTTATTTGTTTTAGAAAATATATAGGTTTGGGACTTGGTTCAAAGTGATTCACTAAATGTTTTGTTAATTTTTTTTAAAGGAGTACAATGTGCTTAGGGGAAAAAAAGCCTATCTGGGGTTGATTCTAGGCTCAAGAAATTTGTCACTCCAAGTTTTTGTCCATAGTTTAGTTCAAGTCGTGGTGTCTGACACTGTGATGAAACCTGGCAACCACATTTTCTGTTCAAATTGGTCTGTTCTGATGTAAAGTCTACACAATTGTCATTTTTTTAAAAGGCAATATCTAAATCTTGTGATAGTTGCAATAAACTTCTGGTTAAATAGCCTAATTTGGATAGGCAAATCCAACAAAGTGTTTCTTTCTGGGAAACTTATTGGTAAGGAAGAGAAAATAAAAAGCTAAATAGGAAAACACTTCTTTAAATTAAAAGACACATGCTTAAAAGAGGGATAATAAAATGTTTCAGAGTTACAGCTACATTTATCTGCCTTCCTGCTCATGTGTGCAGGGGATTAGAGTCTGAGATGGCTGAGTTGAGCAGAAGTCAATGGAAGATTAACTTTAGTAGCAGGAATTAGTCCTGCCTGGAGTCAACAGCAATTCTATGTGCAAGATCCTGTGTACATTATTATATTTAATCTTTGAATCATCCAGAGGTTAGATAATCTCTTATTCACATTTTACAGATGAGTCAGCTAAGGTCTGGTTAAGTTAGATAACTTGCCTAAACATATCTAGAGTAAAGTTGCAGAGCCAGTATTCTGTGTGGATCCGGACCTCTGCCCCTAACCACTGAATTTCAGGTAAGAGTTGGAGAGTTGAACATTTAAAGTTTAACTCACGGAAGTTAGAAAACCTAAGCCTTTGGAGGGTTCCATATCCAAATTAAGATAAGGAAGGTGAGTTGAAAAGTATAGAAATGTAGGTCACAATCTGTATATAAGATTGAGGGTTGGGTAAACTGTGCAAAGTAAGAAAATTGAGGAGATTTAGATTCCCAGCTTCCCACAGGATTTCTCCACTGAGGTGTTTTCATAAGCATTTAAAATTCAGTATGTCTCAAACAGACCTCATTATCACCCCTTCCTCCTCACCACTTCTTCCCCTAAAACCTGCTCCTCCTGCTGTCTTCTTTATCTCAGGGGAGGGCAGGCTCATGTACTCAACTGTCCTGGGAGTCATCATCGATACCACCCTCTTCCTCATCCAAGTCCTGTTGATTCTACTTCCTTAATACCTCTTGAATCTGTAGCCTCCTCTCCTTTGGTTCAACCATCCCCAGTGTCAGAGTGATCCAACTAAAATGTTAAAATGACCATCATCATTCCTCAACTTGAACTCCTTCCATGGTCTCCTTGCTCTCAGTATAAAATACACAAAATACAAAGCCCTCCAAGATATGACCTCTGCCCTTCTCTAAACTCGTTGTCATTTCTTCCCCATCCCACTTCAGAACTGTGTCAAAGGTACCATTGACTTCCTGGTGGCTAGTCCCATGCCAGGCACACAGAAGGCATAGAACTATATGCATATCGAGTAAAAGATTAATAAAGATTTCAGTGCTGGGTAGCAAACATACCCCAAATGGGCTTTCCCTACTGATGAGGCAAACAGGCAAATTCAAATTTTTCAACTGTTTTGTGTCACCCCTAGACAAATCAATGCAAAAACAGACTCATAAAGGAAAAGAAAAATACAACAAAAATAAAATGCTTTTAAAAATAATAAATAACAGATTATCTCAATATTTAAGTGCTCTATTTTCCTTTAAAACCGTGCTTTTAAAGTATAAACTATGTTCCTAGTTTTTTAGTATATGCTTACATTTGACTGTTTTAATAAAGGCATATTTTAAGACACAATGCAGAAATTCATGATTATAAGTCAGAGGAGGCAGACAGAGGAAACACTATTTGAATCTTAATAATCTTCTGACTAGAGGGGCCCTGCATCTGAAATGCTCTACTCCCACCTGGTGGTGCAACTAGAAAACTGTCAAAATAAATTTTTATAGATTTTTTAAAAATAATCACATATTATGTAAGATGAAAGTGAGAAGTGACTGCAGTTGTCACAGACTACCATTCATCCTGCAGAATTTTTACTCTTTGTCATTACCTTACAGTCAAACCTTCTAAGCCATTCTGTAGTATTCAAGGAAGACCAGAAACTGGCCACATTATTTCACTTTCCTGCCATTCTGCTCTTGGAACACCTTCCCCAGTGTATTACTGGTATAAACTTGAGGGAAGCAATATCGTGCCAGTGAAAGAAAGCTTCAGTAAGTATAACCTTTAGCAGCCCCTGGAAGGGCCTGGTGCTTGTGGTTAGCTGACAGCAGGAGTGTGTGGCTGACCACTTGTCCTTTGAGTTCAATCTTCTTTTTCCTGGGTGGGGGAGGGATGTAAACATAATGCCTGTCTCCCATATGATGATTGTGATCTCCAACTTCTTATTTTTTTTAAAGAGAAAAGCAATCAATTTTTTATTGAGATATAATTCACATATTATAAAACTCACCATTTAAAAATGGCATGGATTTCTTTGAGTATATCCTATTTGTTGTATACTCAGCTTCTTGAATATGGATCTTCATTATTTTTGACAAATTTAGGAAGTTTTAAGTTATCATTTCTTTAAATACTTTTTCAGTCCCACTCTCTATCTCCTCTTTCCAGAATCTGAAGATATAGCACTTGTTTTGTTATTGTTCTTTTTTTTACATTTTTAAAGATGTGGGGTACAATTCAGGATTAGGTATACAAGTGGTCATTGTACAGGTAAAGTTTGGGCCTCCCTTTGGCTCCCACTTTGCCAGGTTTGAGATCAGGTACCCTTATTGATGTGTTCTCCCCCCTCCCCTGGCAGTATCGCGCTACTGCCAATCCCTTTTTTATAGTATTACAGTAAATGGTCAGGGTCTTCTTATGAGTGAGAACGTGGTTCTCAGTTCTTTGCTTCTGTGATAGATAACTGAGTATTATAGACTCGAAATCCATCCGAGTTGCTGCAAAGTCCGTCTTTGTTTGTGAATGTGTAATATTCCATTGTGTATATGTACCACTTTTTTTTATCCAGTCCAGTTTCAATGGGCAGCATGGTTGGTTCCATGGATCTTCAACTTCTATAAGCCAGCTCAGAGGTAGTTAATATGTAGGGAATAGGCACAGTTCCAGGTAGGCTACCTTTGGAACTGTTCTGAGGGGACTAGTTGGACCCTGGACATCTCAAGAAAGGGTGGCAAAGATGGGGAAGTAGGTGGCCATTGGATGATCTTTTATGCTGACATGATCTGTACTCATATGAGAGATCTCAAAAACCTATTTCCTGATTTCAACAGACCCAACCACCGGAATTTTGGTCATTGGAAATCTGACAAGTTTTGAACAAGGTTATTACCAGTGTACTGCCATCAACAGTCTTGGCAATAGTTCCTGTGAAATCGACCTAACTTCTTCACGTAAGTTGACAATGTAACTTTAACAGTTTCTCCTTAAGTTAAGTAGTCTGGCCTGTCAGCCAAATAAATGAATTAGGATCCCTGGTTAGTGCTTCCTATTTCTTGACTTGTGTGCTTTATTTACAGGTTGATATAATGAATGGCCATCCTAGTATCTAATGCTTACATAATATTTAATATTTACCTCACACTGCTCTAAATTCTTTACAAAAAGTAATTTGCTCAAGCTTCATAAAATCCCTAGAAAGTAGGCATTACTTTTCAATAAATAAAGCAATAGCCTCACTGATGGCATCAGGCTGAATTTCTCTTCGTGATGCTGTTGGTAAATCCAGGTGACTCTGTAGCTATGTCAAACATATAGCTTGCAAAACTCTGCCTCTGATAATTATATGAATAATAACACTCGGCCGGACGCAGTGGCTCAGCCTGTAATCCCAGCACTTTGGGAGGCCAAGGCGAGAGGATTGCCTGAGCCCGGGGGTTAGAGACCAGCCTGGGCAACTTGGTGAGACCTTGTCTCTACAATAAATCACAAAAACTAGCCGGGCGTGGTGGGGCGTGCATTGGTAGTTCCAGCTACTTGGAAGGCTGAGGTGGAAGGATCACTTAAACCCAGCAGATAGAGGCTGTGGTGGCTGTGAGCATGCCACTGCACTGCAGCCTGGGCAACAAGAGTGAGACTCCAATTCAAAATAAATAAATAAATAAATTAAAACATTCATACCCACAATCACAGTAACTAATATTTGTAGAGCACAAATTATGTTCCAGACACTCACCCAGGTGCTATATGAACATCATTTCACTCATTCCTCCCAACTAGCCTATTTAGGGAGGCAAAGTATAATATATTGATAGCCTCACTTTACAGAAAAAGACACTGAAGCTCAAAGAGGTAAATGACTCACATAAGGTCATCCGGTTAGTAACTGGTAGAGTCAAGGTGCCTCTAGAACTCAATCTTCCAATTCAAACGTGCTTACTCACTCTCTGAGCATAGGACTTAAGCGCCCTGAATAGTCAAATTGGGTCAATCCAGGGGCAAGCCCTTACAAAAGGATGTCTCACCAAACTTCTCGAGGACCACATATTAACACTTAGAATCTTGTTATTTTTTCCAATGTACTTTGAATTTGTCATTTTAATATAGTCCAAGAGTGATAAATTCTACTGGATCATCACTCTTCCTATGCAGTTGAGCTTTCTTTTATTTGTCCTAAAAGTTGCTCTTTCATTCTAATGTCATTTTCAGCTATTTTTCCTGCATCATTTCTGTTGTTTTTCTTTAGATCTCCTCCAATCCTTTTTTGCCTTCCCAGAGATAAAATATACTGCAGATGTAGAGACACCTAGGATTTGGACTTGACTATCACTTCCTTTCTAATCTTTCCAATGATGTTCAGCATTGCCTCCCTCTCTTCCTCCCTTCCCCCTTCCTTCCTTCTTCCAACGTTTATTGAATATGTACGATGTGCCAGGGGTCCGTTTAAGTGATGGAGACAGAGATTAAGAGCATATATGTCTTACACTCAAGGAGCTCACAGTTCAGCTAGAGGGACAACGCACAAAAACTAAAATGTGTTGATTGCTATAATAGAGCTCTGCACAGGAGGCACCAAAGGAGGTATAATTATGCTATAGAACTTGGGGAAGCTTTACTGGCAAAGTACTATTTGAGCTGGATCTTGAAGGAACTTGCAAAACCTGTTTCTTCATCTATAAAATGAGGATGTTGAAGGATGACAGTAGAATAGAAGGCTTAGGAGGGCAACCAGTCCATCCTGAGGTAAGAGGATGGAGAGCTCCAGAAGGCATGTTTCTGATGAAAAATAATAAGAAACCAAGAGATTATCTGATGTGTTTGAATCGATTGAAAAAAGTATAAGCCAGATGTGGTGGCTCCCGCCTGTAATTCCAGCATTTTGGGAGTCCAAGGATGGCTTGAGCCCAGGAGATTGAGACCAGCCTGGGCAACATCGCATAAGAACTTATCTTTATAAAAAAATAAAATAAAATAAAATAAAATAAAGAAAGACATGTAATGGTTTTTCTGGAAACTTGGAGATGAGTGATAATGCATTAAAGAAAACTAAACAAATTCTCAACTGAGACAATTATTACCTCGGGGAAATTTTTAAAAATGTTATACAAGAAAAAACCATAGTATATCATGTCCCTTGGCTGTGAACAATATTTCATAGTCATAATGCTGCAAACTTTGATTTAACTAAAACTTGTAATAGAACTATATTGGAAGAATGTGGTGGGCTGAAGGGGAAGTGGTGTAAAAGAGCTCAATCTACAACTTCCAGAGTAGGAAGGTGAAAGGGTATGATGAAAACGGAAAAAAATCAGGACATATCAGAGCAAGCATACCAGAAACATAGAAGGAAGAAGATTTAAAAAAAAGAGTTGAGTGGTTACCTTTAGTGAATGGAACTCAGAAATGGGAAGGAATGGGGCAGTAGACTGTAGGGGAATGTTGTTTTTGTGAGAGGTGTAGTAAAACTATTTAACTTTTAAAAGTATTCACATGTATTCTTTTAATCAGAAAACATTAAAGGAATTATTATCAGGCAGTTCAACTAGCCTCCCCATCTCAAAATATAAGATGTCCATCCTTGTTTGAGGGGAGGCAAATGGGGATGAGCTGGTTTATAACCCCAGATGTGAACTCTCAGAGACAACGCCTCATGGCTTTATCAGCTGAATCATCTCACACTCATTAAATTTCTCTATAGACTAATGTAACAAACCAGATGCCTATTTATCAAAATGGGTATTTCCCTTTCCATTGACTAGAATGTGTGAGGCTCCTTGGTGAGTATGGATGCTGGGGAGAAAGTTTTTAGGGATCTAGTTCACCTATGCGTTGGGAAAACCTGGTGAAATGTCCCTGCCTATAACAGAGGCATATCTCTGGTGATCCAGATTGCAGTTCCATGGTGTCACAAGACTCTCTTCTCTAAACTCCATTTCAAAAGCAGCCTTGCCTCCCCCAGGTTGGCATATTTTATTCTTTATGTGTGCAAATATCAGTGGTTAAGGCACATAGTCAAGCCAGTCGTTTTTCTTTTTCCATTGTAAGTCCAACTGGCAAAGTTCAAGGGATTTCCATTTTTCCCCTCAGCATATACAAGTCACTTTCCTGCTATGTGAATGGCACAAATATTCCCCACTAGTCATAAATGCATAGGCATGAACCGACAATATATTCTACTTTATTAACCAGCTGCTTGTGTCCTCCAGATCCAGAAGTTGGAATCATTGTGGGGGCCTTGGTGGGTACCCTAGTAGGTGCTGCCATCATCATCTCTGTTGTGTGCTTCGCAAGGATCAAGGCAAAAACAAAGGAAAGGAAGAGAAATTCTAAGCCTACCACAGAACTCGAGTAATCCCTTATTTTGTTGTCTTTACTTGCACACAACTATTTCTCAAGCATATCTCTTTCAGTCATCAACTCTGAAGCAGTCATTTTAGCATACGATATCAGAGGTATCTTTCTGCTTACTCTCATTACTTTTTATAAAAGGAATGATATGGCTACCATTCACCGAGAGCTGTGTGCCAGACTCTGTTCCAAGTACTCTATGTATATCAACTTATTTAACCATCACAACTCTTTTAGATTCAATAAAATGTTTTAATATATCATATTAACATACTTGGATTTATACAAACACTTATAAAATATAATTTTAAATATTTTTATGATACAAGAGGCCCACAAAGACAAAAGGGCCTAGGGTCCACAGAAGTCAGAATATGGCCCTGCCACAGTCCATGCTCTTAGCCACTCTATTTCTTCTCTAGTATATATCACACTCATTCATTTGTTCATCCCTCCATCTCCTTGCTTCTAAAACTATACATTGGGTGCCAAATGGGTGCCAAGCTTTGTGCTAAATGGAGTGGGAGATAGAAATGTATCAGAGCTATGGATTTGGACCTCAAGGACCTTTTTAGACTTATATACTCTTTCATCCTGATATCAGTTTTCCTACCTTTTAAACACTGGTCTGTCTGTCTTGAACTTTCATTATATTGTTGAGACCTAACCATTCTGAACCCAAAATGAAGCCTGACAGTGAGTCAGAATATCAGAAATAACAGACTGCCTCAAGTCAGAGGCTTATGGTCACTGAAACTACAGAATGTATGGTTCTTTGTGAAATTTCAAAGTTAGTTTTTCCCTAACTTGGTGTTTTCTGGCCCTTCTTTTTTGCAGGCCTATGACAAAGGTAAACCAAAGTGCAGAGAGTGAAACAATGCCAACAGAAGACGCCACCCAACTAGAAACTTTACCATCTTCCATTCATGAGACTGGCCCTGCTACCATCCTGGAACCAGACCATGAGCCAGACTCTATCCCGGAGAATGCTGCAGGACAGGAGCCTGTGCCAGTGCCTGACCTTGAGATTGAGCTAAAGCCAGAGCCAGATCTGGAATTGGAACTGAAACCCGAACCAGAGCTAGAGCCTGACATTGTAGTTGAGCCCTTAAGTGAAGATGAAAAGGGAATGGTTAAGGCATAAGCTAGTGGCCTAAGTACATTCATCATTAAGGAACCCATTCCCAGCATTTGGATTTCAGTTGACCTAACCAGCCCCCACCTCCTCCCTTCATTTTGACCAACCCTCTTCTAACAAGGTGCTCATTCCTACCAAGTACTCAGAATAAACAGGCCAAGATAACTACTAAATAAACAAAGGTTCCTGTATTACTGGTATAGAGTACTAACAATTTGACTAACATGTGTAAGCATAACAAATAACAAGGCAAGCAATTTTTAACTTAGTTGGAAGCGTTTTCCAACAGTACCTGTCGTATTTCTGAAAATCTTATTTCTCTACTTTTAGCTACTCTTGATGATGTTCCACGTGCACATATGACAAGGTAGCATTCATTAGATTCTAAAAATTAGTTGTCAGGGCTTCTCTATTCATTTTTATATTCACCACTAAGAACTCACTAGCATTATTTCATAGATTGGCACAAAAATTCAAAAAGAAAAGAATATGTAAAGAGTACATATCAATTGGTACATGACATTTAAAACCAGATAATTAATGTTTCATTCATCACGTTAGATTTTCCTTTTTCTGTTAGATTTTTCAAGGAGTCATCCTGGTATCCCATGTCTGAGTATAGCAAATTTGAAAAAAATAACCCATTTTTAAATGCCACATAATAAACAGGCAAGCATTTTCAAATACTTTTTCTTTCAGTAAACACAAAATGTTGGTAGTATAGGTGATGTACAATCTAGTCTTTAATGGGTTATTATGTTATCACTGTGTCTGATGCTATCTATTTTGAAAGGGAGACTTAAAAAATGTTCCAAATGAACACTTAAGATCTATTTTAAATAATCTCTGCTAATTATTTAAATAATTTGTTTTGCTGTTTGTACATTTCACATTAATAGAGATATCAATATTGCATAGATGCTAAATATTAACTAAAATGTACTGATATAACCTCTTCTTCCCCGTTATAAAACTTTTTCATAATCATATTTCACCCATATTCCATCTTAAAGAAACTTACAGGTAAACGTATCTTTCCACTTGTGGAATCAATCATATTTTAAATCTTACTTTAAGGCTCAATAAATAATACTCAAAAAATTATTATTTTAATGACTCTTAAGGTAAATCTTTTTTATAAACAACTTTATTGACATATAATTTATATATGATAAGCCACACATTTGAAGAGTACAATTTGATGAGTTTTGACAGAGAACACACCCATGAAACCACCACACCCATCTAGGAAGAGAACATTTGCATCAGTTCAAAATGTTCCCTCATGCCCCTTTGTGCAGCCCACCATTGCCCTGGATCTAAGCAACCACTGATCTGTTTTCAGTCACTAAAGATTAGCTTTGTCTTTCCTTGACCCTTGAACAAATGAGATGATACTGTATGAAGGGGGCGAGGTCCTGGAATTTATTTATAAAAAGTGGCGTGTTTATTCTTAAATGTTTACACTTCAGACACCTTCAAAGTACTCTCCATTAGCTGCAATACACCTATCAAGACGCTTTTTCCACTGCTCAAAACGGTTTTTTAACGAGTCCATTTTGATGCCTTTTAGTGCTTCCGCCATTTTTTTGTTTCACCTCTTCCACATCGGCAAAACATTTCCCTTTGAAGAGTATTTCCATCCGAGGAAGCAAACAAAAAATGTCGCTCGGGGTGAAATCAGGTGAATAGGGAGGGTGGGGCATGAGGATCATGCAATTTTTGGTCAAAAACTGCTGAGTGCTCAGCATGGTGTGGGCAGGTGTGTTGCCATGGTGGAAGAACCAGTCACCAGTTTGCCACAACTTGGGATGTTTTTTCTGCAAATCATGACACAACCTTCTCAAAGCTTCCAGATAAAAACTTTGGTTGATCATTTGACCTGGAGGAACAAATTCTGAGCGTACTATAAGGGGCCTGCCCTCCAAAAGATAATTCCGTGGTTTTCTGGGTCCCTCATCGTATGTCTGACTTCCTTCTAAGGCAAATACTTTTTAAATGAAGTAATGATTTCTAATTTATCACAGATTTTCATGTAAAGAATTTTCTTAAACTGTAAATTCCTTTTTAAGTAGATTATACCCGTAGAGACTAAAATAGAACCTTTGTAGGTTTTAGAATGGGTTGAAATGGAAATTAATATTACACTTGTTCAGTGCCATGGAGAGAAGAGATAGTAAACTTTCCTTTATGTATATTCTTTGATGTGTTGATTTTCAGCCAATCTCAGGGATTTTTGAAACACCTATAATTCCATTACAGACTAAATATAATACTGTAGTGTATGGTGTCTGATGGGTGCAGGAAGCAAAATGATGAAGGTCTTAGGAATGATCTAATATTCAGAGTTTAAAAACTAAGCAATAAGCACGTAAGCATGTCTATTACCAGAATGTCTAAGTAGCTGGAATTCATTCTTCCCTTCCATTTTTATGACAGAGGCAAATAAGAAAAGAGACTGACACATAATAGTCAATAACTATACCTCAAAATTTCTGATGGATCAGTGCTACCAGGAAAGAAGGCACTATTGGCAGTCTTAATAGAACTCTGTCCACTGTTCTGTTCAAAATACTGATGAATAGTTGCATCAGTGGATTGTAACCTTTTTTGAGGTCATGTTTTTTGAGATCACCTTGTGAATCTGCTGAAAACTCTGAACCCATTTCCATTGTAAAATGCTTATACACACAAAGTCACATACAATTTTAGATAAATTATAGACTCCCTGAATCCAATATTAATAACCAACGACTTAGATAAAAAACACAGAGGGCCCACTTAATAAATTTGTGAATGACTTGCTCCTAGGGGAAATGACTACTAGGTTGTAAAACAGAATGATGATTCAGAGATCTTGGTAGTTTGAAAGCTGAGCTGAAGTCAACATAATGAATTTGACAGTAATAAATGGAAAAATCTGGATTTAAAAATATCAAGTACATGTTGCCCAGGTAGAAACCCTAGCTGAGCAAGGTTGGGAAGCATGTGAAGATAATCTGAAGTGGTACCTTTGGATATTTCCTTTCAGTGCCTTTCCTGGCCTTGTGGCACCTTACTTTCCAAACACCCAGGATTCTCATGTTCCTATAGCTCAGTGATCCATTCAGTTCTGCATCCCTCAGGCAGGATTCATTGCTCAGGACCTATCTCTGCCCTTGCCACCCTTTCAAAATGTAGCTGTTTGGTAACCTGTTCTTGTCCAGTGAACATGAGCTTTCATTACTCAGTGATCTTATTCATGTTGATAACTTTTTTTTTTTTTTGAATTGGAGTCTCAGTCCATCATCCAGGCTGGAGTGCAGTGGCACACACACAGCCACCCCAGTGTTGACCCGCTGAGCTCATGTGATCCTTCCACCTCAGCCTTCCAAGTAGCCGGAACTACAGGTGCGCGCTACCGTGCCTGGTTAATTTTTTAATTTATTATATAGATGAGGTCTCACCAAGTTGCCCAGGCTGATCTCAAACCCATGGGCTCAGGCATGGGCTCTTGCCTCAGCCTCCCAAGGTACTGGGATTCCAGGTTTGAGCCAGAGAGTATTTATCTTTTAAAGAGCATTCTTGAACACAGATAATCCTCAATCCAAAGAGTCTAAATGTTGGAATTTCAGCTATGAGAAGAAGAAGAAGGAGGAGGAGGAGAAGAAGAAGAAGAGGAGGAGGAGGAGGAGGAGAAAGACAAGAGTAAGCGGAGGAAGAAGAGGAAGAAGGGGGGAGGGGGAGAAACCGCCTTCTCAGTCCATCTCAAATCAAACCATGTGGGTTACCATCCATTCAACCTACTATGAGTCAGTGCAACTCTACCCCAGTCTCCTTAATACATCCAGAATACACTATATATTTATGTTTGCAATGAATCCCGAGACTCTGTAAGATAATTATAACAACATTCTGTTCAATAAATCTCACTTAGGCAGAAAAAACGAGCTCGTGTGTTAAAGAGCTTTCCAATAAGGAAATAAAATGGGATTTTTCCTGTTTACTCATCACTGAATCAGAAAATATTCTAATTATTTATTAATATTCTAATTATTTATCTAATTATATTTCTGAATAATTTTCATTCAGAGAGAGCACTGATTTATTTTGCTGTAAGTAGTTAAAATTTAAGTAGGTAATCTCAACCAAATCTCAAGCCAACCTTGGGCTTCTTAACTCTTCATTCTTGTTACCCAGGAATATTTCTAGGAACTTCTTTCATCTCTTAGTTTCTGCTTTTAGCAACCAGAGTATTCTAAAGTCAACAGAATAGCTTTCTGGCTGTAGATCGTTATACTCTCCAAGTTCACTTGTTTCTTCAGTCACCCAAGTGTACTTTGTCGAATGGCTACTATCAACCAGGACAGGACTGTTGCCAGTGCTGGTAGTACAAAGGTGAGCAAAATCAGAGTTAGACTTAAACCTCATGAAGTATACCATTTTGCTAATGACGACAAGTTCTTAGATGTTATCAACAATAGTGTGTTGACTGCAGGAGAGAAAGGCTAGAATTCGTACTGTACTGGGGAGGGCCTCCAAATTATAGTGATCTGTCATAAAAAAAAAAAAGGACTAAAACATAGTAATTCTTGACTAATAGCTAAGAAACCATGTACATATTAAATATCTCTTAGGTGACTTTCCCCTCAATATTGTATGCTGAGTAGTTAATATCTGCAATTTTACATGGGCCCATGTAATACTCAGGTGTGATGAATTTTCAGCAAGAATTTCAGAAATAGAAGAGAGTTTTGAGATCAATAGTACTCAACCTTTTTCAACTCCAGCACACTTGAGGGTTTTCACACACACAGTGGCTCACTACTAATAATGATGGGGCTGAAGGTGGGAGATGATGTAGATTTACATTCTTGACTGGGCGCAATGGCTCATGCCTGCAATCCTAGCACTTTGGAAGGCTGAGACAAGAGGACTACTTGAGCCTAGGAGTTCAAGACCAGTCTAGGCAACATAGCTAGACCTCATCTCTGCAAAAACAAAAAGTTAATTGGGCGTTGTGGCATGTATCTGTAGTCTTAGCTACTCGGGATGCTGAGGCAGATGCTGAGGTGGAAGGATCATCTGAGGCCAGGAGGTTGAGGCTGCGGTGAACCGTGATTGTGCCACTGCACTACATCCTGAGTGACAGAAAGAGATCCTGGCTCAAAAAAGAAATAGAAAAAAGAATTACCTGTGGGGAAGACAGGAAGGGGTAAGTATACTTTTAGAAAAGCTGGTTCATTTTTATATAGTCCCACCTAGCCCTCATAGTGAGGAGAGGTAAAAAGAAATTATACAAAGACTAAATCCAGATTCTTTGAATCCCAGCACAATGCTCTTTCAACTGCACTAAACTACTAGTTTCAATGAAACAAACCCAAGTTTAGTAATGGAAGATTGTTTTACAATGTCTACATGCTGAAAAAGCTTAGAAAGGGCCTCATAAAATGTTCAAACCAATCAATAAAGACTTAGTAATTTATCTTTGAAGCTTTGATTTAAAATCAAAACAAATAATTCAGAGATGATAATGAGGGCTACAGAAAACCAAAAAAAAAAAAAAAAGCACATAAAGGAAAACTGTTCCTTGACTCACACTTCAGAAACCCAATGTGTGGGGTTTCCACACCAAGCAATTCAATCCTCTGTGGTCACCAACTGGGAGTATTATGATTTAATTTAGTTCTGACACTAACTGCCTGGAGTTAGTACAGAACCCACAAGTCAAGAATTAGATTTCACAAGACTGCCCCCACTTTAGATGCCAGTAATATCAAGTGCCCACGGTTCCCACACTTCTGTCCTACTTGGCTATACATTGGAGGTCCTCACAACGCCAAGTTTGATAATTCGCTATGACTCACACAACTCTCTGTTTATCAGTTTATTATAAAGGATACAGATGAACAGCCAGCTGAACAGGTGCATAGGGCAAGGTCCAGAAGGGTCCCAAGCACAGGAGCTTCTATCCCCATGGAGTTGGGGTGCACCATCCTCCTGGCATGTGGATGTGTTCACCAACTCAGAAGCACAGAGAGGATTTTTATGGAGGCTTCATCACACAGGAGTGATAGATTAACTCAATGTTCAACCTCCTTCCCCTCCCTGGAGAATTGGGGAATGGGGCTGATAGCTCCAAGCTTCTGATTATGCCTTGGTCAGTTGTTAACAGCCCCCTTTCTAAGGCTATCCAAGAGCCCACCAGGAATTGCATCATTAAAACTAAAGATGTGCCTATCTCCCAGGAAATCCCATGGGATTTAGGAGCTCTGTGTAAGATACCCCTATTACCCCCAACACTCAGGTAATTACAAGGGTTTTAAAAGCGGTGTGTCAAGAACTGGGGGCTGAGACCAAGTATGTATTTCTTATTATGTCACAGCCAATTTAAAGAAAAGTACCAGGGCAGCTATTAGAACTAATCAGTTACAATCAAAATGCCAGAGTACTGTTCATTTGATCCACTGCTTTTCAGTAGAAGCAGAAAAGAAAATGAACTGGGATCCAAGAAAGTAAGATTTTAGTACTGGCTTTTTCAGTAGCTCTGGATATTTTCAAATCTGTAAAATGAAGATGACTTCTGCCTTCTTAAAGGCTATGGTGAGAATGGATGTAAAAACTTATAAACTAAAAACTGTGGTAAAATGATACTATTGTAGAACCCACATCTGTTGACAACTGATTCAGTATTCGTTTTTCTTTCACCCAAGAATTCTTAACCTTTTAGGGAATCACAGATCCCTTGGAAACTTTGATGAAAGCTATGAATTCTCTTCCCAGAAAACTTCACATACATATTTTGCATTCAATTTTAGGCAGTCAATAGAACTGTGAAGCCAGAATCATAGACCCCAAAGTATAGAATCCGCATACTATATCAAATGTGCCAACAAATTGATTTGGGGGCTTGACAGTGTAACAATATGGAAAAAGAAAGCAGCAGACACAATCATGTAAGGAATTCATTGTAGTTGGGGTAGTTAAGAAATTGGGAAATCAAACACCAATGTCATACAATTAAATTAAGTAAAAAATTATGTAGTAAAATGAAGATTTACCTTGAGACTCACAGAACCTCACTGAAACTGTATTCTCTACAATAGATATTTAGGAATGTAAAATTTTCCAACTGCTTCCATTGATCGATTTCTTCCATCCGATATTCTGTTAAGTTTTACAATTAAATGGTCATCTTTTTAAAGCTTATTCTTGAAGTAACTAAAAAACTGCTGATCTTGAATCAGCTTTGCCTCTATAGGATTTCCTATAGAACAGAAATCAATTTGGTCAATGTCCAAGGCCATTAATGTCCTTAGTTTATATAAATCAGTGATCTAAGTATTGTTTAAAAATCACTTTACTTAAAATGTCAAAAGTCTACAAATTACCTGTGGCTTGGTTCCATCTGTGTTGCTTATTGAAGAACAAGGATGAGTTTCCTTTTGCACCCACAAAGTCTATTACCTCAGATAATAAACTTAATATTTATGAAGAATAAATACCTTCAGTCCTAACAGACCTTATTAGACAAAACTTTACTCTGATCACACTACAAAAAATTAGAAATTATTTCCTCTGCAATCAACTCTACCACCAGCATTCAGTAAAGAGAGTTTTGCTCCATAAGATGCCTGCCTGATTGATGTTTTCAATAATCCGCACTCAAAATATTTATGTAAAAAGAGTTTGTACATCAACAACACAGTTTGTGTTTACAAAACTCATTTTAGCTACTGGTTATTATATCTTTGACCTAAAATTAATGCAAGTTTGTGGGCTCACTTGGATCACTTATTTCAAGCAATATTTGTAAAATAAAATTCAAATTGAAAAATAATTTGAAGAGTCACTTGGAGTTCATTAGGTTTTATGACTAGTATCATTAAAGATTCTTCCCTAAATTGAGCTTGCGTTTATACTTATTGATTTCCTTTTTTTCTACATTTAATTAGCAATTCAGATGAATACCATTTTTAAGGATTTTAACTACAGTTCAAGCTTTACTAGTTTTGCTGACTTTAAAGCTACAAAAAACTGAGAAACGTCTTTACTAAGGATTTTAAGGCATAACTGAATGTGATTTGAAAGAAACATTGACGGGTTCTTTCAACATTTTATTTTTTAATTTCTGAAATACAAATCAAAATACATTTTTGTTACATGTTATTTTGACAAGTCTGACAGTCTTTTCAATACAGGATAACTCAATATAGGTGCTTTAAAACTTCCTTTTTAAAAACCATACATTTTACTTTGGAGAGAAACAACTCATCAGAAAAATACTTACATACATGGGCTACTGTTTGTCATGATCTTAGAGCATGCCCTCCATCTTAAAATTTGGTCCACTGAAATATATACGTATTCCTCCTATCACAAAAATAAATTAAATCTCGTGGTTGAAAAAAACAAATATTTGGCATAGGCCTGAGTGTACTTGAAAAACAAGTTACGATGTGTTTCAACTGCATGGAGGAACATTCTAAAATTCACCTAGAACCATTTGGCAGAACAACTGGCCTGTTGCTATCAGGGCTCTCCTGCCTCAAATGGGAATAAAAGGTGCATGGGAAAGTACTGAAGACTCTCAACATCCACAGAATCACTTACTCAAAATTAACCAAAATTCAATATAGAATAGTACACGACAACAACAGAACAATCGCAACAGTTATTCAATGCCTGGAAAGCAAGATGTAAGCTTAGAATGACTATCTCAACAAGAACAATGGTCAACATGTTTATAAGACCTTAAAGGTGAGAAAACTGCATTATTGATAGATGATGTCTTGTGTACAAGTATATTAGTTTCCAGGACACTGGAGACAACAACAAAACATACAAAGTAAGAACATAGCCAAGCTGCTTAACCTTCCACCATTCTCTTGAGTATTAAACCCAGGCCGCCTTTGGCCACTTGCAGAGGTGTCTTTTCTTCTTTATTCTCAATGTAAATACTTGCTCCTTGGGACACCAACAGTTTTGCTTCTTCCACTCTCTCTTCATCACAGGCTAAGTGTCTGAAACCAGAGATGACAAAGATCAAATAATCACAACCAAATCTATGTAATGATTAGGATTTCCTCCTAGGTAGTCTAAAGTGCATATTATTAGGCAGTGATAATATCAGAAAATTATTTAATCAGTAAAGAAAAATCAGTTTGCATGGGGAAGACTGTTTATAAGGTAAAATTCAGAGGAATACCTTTATAATACTAAATTGTGAATCCTAATTCTGGACCTACTTGGAATAGAGAAGGAGATCTAAATGCCAGCCTAAGGAACAACTTCCTCACTTTATAGAGATTAATAGTAGTTTACCCCCAAACCTACATGTGATAACTCAGGGTTAGAATTTAGAAAAGTCCCTATTCATAATGTTAATAGCAATTTGTTTTTTCAACCACAAGATTTAATTTATTTTTGTGTGTTGAAGTTTGGAAAAGCAGTTCGGCTTAAAATATTTATCTTGCCAGACTCAGTGGCTCAGCCTGTAATCCCAGCAAATGGTTCTAGGTGGATTTTGGGAGGTCAAGGTGAGTGGATTGCTTGAGCCCGCGGGTTTGAGACCCACCAGGGCAACTTGGCGAGACCTTGTCTCTACAATAAATAAAAAATTAACAGGGCATGGTAGTGCACACCTGTTGTTCCAACTATTTGGAAGGCTGAGGCGGAAGGATCACTGGAGCCCAGCAGGTTGAGGCTGTGGTGGCCGGGAGTGTGCCATTGTACTCCAACCTGGGCAACAGAGTGAGACTCCAACTCAAAAAATAAAAATAAAAAATAAAAAGATATTTATCTCAGTTGACCCACATATCTACCTTGTAAGTTAGCAAGGTATTATCACCTTTTTACAGTTGAAATGGTGACAGAGGTTAAAGTTCTTGCCTCTATTGAAATGGCTGAGCAGTAAACTGAGTGGAGAAGGAAACTAACCTTTGCCAGTCACTTATAGTTTGCCAGGCAGGGTATTAGGAGGCACTTTACATGCTATTTTACCTAAACTTCACAATAATCTAGTGAAGAAGGAATTATTATCCTTATATTACAGAAGAGGAAATTAAGACTCTAGAAGGTCAAGTAACTTCTTTAAGTTGCTTAATATAAGTTTTTACTACAGGTAGTAAGTGTCAGAGTTTGAGCTGAGTGAACAGCATCTAGCTATTCCTAAATCCTATGCTCTTCTAAGGACTCTATTCTGTCTGACTCCTAGACCTCTTCTAGGCCATTCTGCCTTTCTAGTTATAGAGAAAAGAGCTAGAATGTGCAGGCCTTTCTAGACAGAGTCTCTTAGAATCAAAAGAAATATTTTTTAAACTAAAAGTTAAGAAAACAACACTTTTAAAAAGTTGGTTTAAAGTCAAACTGGAAAAGGCTCAGTGAACCTCACTCTGGCCTAAAAAGAAGACTCAAATTCTGGATCAAACAAAAGTCACCATTCAACAAAGAAGAAAAGTAGCCAAGTACGACAAAAAAAAAAAAAAATCAAGGTAGAGGTCAGCTTCAGGTCCTAAACGTAATTCAATTCCAGATAGATTTAAGAGTGAAATGCAAAACAATAACAATAACCCTCAATCAAAACCAATGAAACATTTGAAAAACCTATAATAAAACATAGGTAATTATTTAACTAATTTCAGAGTGAGAAAGAGCTTTATAGTCCTGGGGGATGATTAACAGGCACGACTACACAGAAATTAAAAACTTCTGATATTCAAAAAAATCATGAACCAAATGAAAAGACAAACTGAGAAAAATAATTTCAACTAACAGTGCAGAAAGTTAATATTTTGACTATGTCCAGTCAAGAGCACTTAAAAACAGTAAAAACAAATTAATTCCTCAAAGAAAACAGAGAAAGGAACACAAAGTTACAATTAGAGAAGAAATGTAATTAGCCATAGGCATTAAAAAATGTCGAAATTCACCGAGAGTAAAAACGTAAATTACAACTATGAAATACCATGTTTCACATAACAAAAGGATAACAGTGCTGGTGGAGGGTAACAGGTATCTTAAACTGCTGTTGGGAGGGTATAATGATACAACTCCTCTGGAAGCAATCTGGTAACATATACCAATAGTCTCAAAATGTGTGTATTTGTTGATTCAGCAATTCAACTTCTAGGAGTCTACACCAAGGTAATAATCGGAAATATGGCCAAAGGTTTCCGTATTAAGTTGGTCAATGCAGCATTATTTATAATAGTGAAAAACAAAAAAAAAGTTTAAATATACTGTAATAGAGAAATGATTAAATTATGACACATCCACAAAATAAAATTGTATATAACCATTAAAAATGTTTTAAACTTATTTAATGACTTTGGAAAATGCTTATGATATACTACGAGGTGAAAAGAACAAGATATAAAACTATACACACATTATGACCCCAATTTTGCTAAATAATATATGTGTAAAATATTTACATTTGCATATAAAAGTCTGGGAGGACATAAACAAAAATGTCATCAGTGGTTATTTCTGAGTGGCAAGGTGATAGGCAATTTTTATCTTTATACTTTTGTATACTTTTAGATTTTTTGCCATTAACAAGAATTGCATTTATAAGCAGAATTTTAAAAAAATGATGTGTAAGAATTATTGCAAGAGGACTAATGTCGGGTAGAATACAAATGACTGCTACTTGTCACTTACAGAGGAGTGTTACCCTCAGTGTCTTGGATGTTTGTGGATGCTTTGTAGTACAGAAGGATATGAATCATCTTCAAGTTACCCTTGGCTGCTGCCCGGTGCATTGCTGTAGCCTCATAATGGTCCTTAGCATCCGGATTAGCCCCACCTTCTAGTAACATGACAGCAATCTGGAAAGATGGAGAAGAAAACAATGCAGACATCTATTTGTATTTGCATACATGTTTAGAACTCAAAAGAAGTAGGCTAGGGATGGAACCATACCTCATGCCTATTTTTGGAAGCGGCATAATGCAGGGGAGTACAGCCGTTTTGATTGACAGCATTCACTTGAGCACCTTTTCCCAGAAGGGCTTTTACAATCTCATCCCGGCCAGCAGAAGCAGCAATATGAAGAGGAGACCAACCTGCCTATAAAAAGAATTGAGTAGTAGAAAAACCAGGGGGAAAGGGCACAGGAATTCATGCTAACATTTAGGCAGGGTTTACAAAGAACTTTACAAAGGCAAAGGAATCTTTGTCTACAAAAAATTTTCCGTTTTTATCCTCCATAAATCTAATCCTAATATAACCAAAACCATACAATAAATCTCTTTCTATAACAAAAAAGGTATCTAGGCCCTCATTATTCAAGCAATGTTTACCAGAAAAATTCCAACATAACAAAAAGGGTTTATGTCTTTTAGGGGTCACCGTAATAAGCCATGATTTACCTTAAATCATAGAGTATGAGTAGCAAAACTAACATTCTAAAATAATGCAATCACTGGTTTCGTGCTTGATCACCAGGGCTATGCTGTAACTTCCCAGTAGTGAAAGTTACAATTTTAAGAGCTTAATACTCAGGCTTCAGTAAACACCAGTCTGGAGTCTAAAGATAACTGGAAATTTATCAACTCAGCTTAATACTCACATCGTCTTTATCATTCACTGGCACTCCAAGTTGCAACAAAAATTCAACAATTTCTGTATGTCCGGCTGAGCATGCCCAATGCAATGCAGTTCTGCTGTCCTACATGGGAAACAGAAAAGCAGTAAGAGAAACATTCTTGAAGAGAAATAGAAGGCAAAAAAGCAGAAAAAAATAGTATTGGTGCTAGCAAATCTATGGTTTCAAAACAAGAAATGGAGAGCACTGGATCCTCAGGTGGGTAACCTTAAACCATATTATTTACTAGTATAAGAGAGACTAACATTTTAGTAACATGGGGAGAATAACATTGATTAATGTAAGTAATTTTGTGTAGTTTAAGAGAAACCAACATTTTAGTAACATGAGGAGACTAACATTTTAGTAACATGGGGAGAATAACATTGATTAATGTAAGTAATTTTGTGCAGAATACGGCAATGAAAGCAGAACAAGAAACCAATTTCAATGCTTTAGCAGAAATAGAGCTTTGGTTGTTTATTATTATATTATTTATGCAATTTTATGTCAGATACTGTGCTGGGAGTTTTACATGCATCATCTCATTTAATCCCTACCATCCTACATGAGGGGGAATCCAACAAACCTGGAATTTATTTATAAAAATGTATGTATTTATTCTTACATGTTTGAACTTCAGTCACCTTCAAAGTACTCTCGATTTGATGCAATACACCTATCAAGATGCTTTTTCCACTGCTCAAAATAGTCTTTGAACTCGTCCATTTTGATGCCTTTTAGTGCTTCTGCAGCTCAGGACAAAGACCAGGTAAATAGGGAGGGTAGGGCACTGGAGTCATGCCATTTTGGGTCAAAAACTGCTGAACAGTCAGTGTGGTGTGTGCAGGTGTGTTTGTAAATTGCCCATCATGAAATGGACAAATATTCGTATTGAAAGAATCTCCAAAAAAAATTAACTGAAGCCAAATGCAGCCTCTCACAACAACGCCAGCTGGTACACTCATGCAGATGGATTCCTAGAACACTCACCTAGCTGGGGAAGACTGTACTACAAGAGGCCCGCCCTCCAAAAGATAATCCTGTTTTTTTTTTTGGGGGGGGGGTTCCTCTCATACAGTGGCTATATCCCCACTTTACAGATGAGGAAACTAAGACTCCTCAGGGTAAGTGACTTGTCCAAGGTTACATGGCTAGTAAATGGTGAACAAACCCTGTTTGTTTGACTCCAAAATCTTTATTTCTACACTGACCTGAAGTTAGATACCTAGAACACACGAACCTTATGGGGAAAGAAAGTTCATAAAACGAGTTGAAATTATCTATAAAACCATCTAGAAAACACAGAATTAGAGAGCAACAAAATTACATTTTATAAAAAATAATAAGCTAGTAGCTATATTTCTCAAAGGGAATTCCATTTGCAGTGACTGCTATATTTCTTAGTCAGCCCTATGTAATAGAAAATGGAATTTTAAACTTGATTACAAAATGTTTCAAACACATATAACATAATAGACAGGATATAATAGAAATCCACGTGCCTGTTGCCTAGATCTAACAATAAATATTTTTGCCATATTTGCTTCATCCAATTTTTTCCTTGCTGAGGTTTTTAAAAACAAATCCTAAATATTAAGACTTTTCATCCCTATTTTAGTATCTAAAAAATAGGAGTACTTTCTTATATAATTATGAGACCATTACACCTATTAAAATTAACACCAACTTCTTTACATCTTATACCCAGTCTGTATTCAGACTTCCTCAATTGTCTCCCTAACGTCTTTTTTCAAATAATTTGTTTAAATCAGGAACCAATCAAGGTCCAAAAATTGCATTTTGTTATGTTTCTTAAGTCTCTTAATACTGAATAGTTCCCTACCTTTTAAAGCCATTGACGTGATGGACGGAAGAATGGTTAAATTTTAAAGGAGTATTATTAAATCTTAATGTGAATTATTACATTTAAATTTAAATTCTTAATTATCAGACCATAATGAAGGTAAACTAGGTAAAGTTTTCAGGTTTGAGTAATAAAAGGAAAATTCCAGAAGAGAAAAGTCTCTTGATTTCGAATTCTCTTCCAAAAAAACACAAATTGGAGACTCATGATACAGTTTCGCCAGTGCTTATCAAAATTCCATAACAAACAGAAGGCAATCTATAAATATTTCTTGGCTTACTGAGGGCACTGTGAATCCTTCTATAGAAGAAATTCAGGGTGAGAATGAGGGTCCTTGAGCAGAAGAGTAGAAACACTTCCCAGCATCCATTCACTTTTGTTCGCCTCTGCTTAGAACATCCGTCCATTCCCTATGAAAATCTCACTCGTCCTAACCTTCCCTCCGTTACAAAGCCTTTTCAATTACCATAATATTCGTTTTTTGAAAACACCATGTAAACTTCTCTCCCGAGTATTTATCACAATTTGTAATCGGACATATATTTTTGTGATTATCTTATTGTCTGCTTCCTCACTCGGCCGTTTCCCCAGCTCTTAGCAAGCTGTCTGGCACATAAGAGGCGTAGTTTACACGTGTTACATGAATACACTAGTAAAGGTAAAGAAATCCACACAAAAAGCTTTTCTCTTCACGTTTTGGGCGTTTCTGAGAAATGCGGTAGACGTTCCAGAAATATCCAAAATTCAGCGAGCTAAGAGCCGGGCCAAAAAGAAAAAACTGAGGTCTGCGGAGCTAGCTACAGCAGCTTGATTGCGAGTCCTGAGGTGACCGTGGGGGACTGATGGGGTGGCGGGGGCGGTGATCTGCCTTTCGAAGAACCGGCCTCCGCCTGGGTCAGGCCCGGGAAGTCACTTAGGGCTTTGCCGACGCGACCAGCTGCAACTGCGGAAAGACCTTAGCGCTGCTTTACCTGATCAGTTCTAGTAGCCAGGGATTTATCTGCCAGGATCCTCTCCTTCAACTCCTCCAGCTTCCCGCTGTAGGCCAGGTTGCAGACCAATAGGTTAGACACACACCCCTCCATTTCGCTTTCCCAGGATCTCCGTGAGACGCGAGTAACGCCCGCCTCACGTCTCCGGCCCCGGGTGCCAATCAAAAGAGCCAGTGGAACTCCACCAATCACCGACCTTCCTCGTTCTCTTTTTCTTTTCCCATCGCGCGGCGCTACTGGGAGTTTCAGTTTGAGGGCAGTTCCGGGTTGGGAGGTACGTTCGCAACCCTCACCGACTTGGCCCCTAGCAGCGTGGAACTACAAGTTCCAGGGTTCCTTGCGACCGCCCATAGTCAAGTTGCCGGTGGAATTGGCCCAGGATGACAGCTGGAGAATGGAGTCAGGTACGGGGAGCGGCTTCGAGTGGAACAGTGTGAAAGAGCCGGGGTGGGTGGTCGCTGTCGGGCCATTGTCGGCTACTCGAAACGGTTACGGGGGCAGGGAAAGAGAGTTATGGGAACCTAAAGGTCCTGTCCCCTAGGGTCCCTGACTTGCGGTGGCAGGCGGAAGGGACAACGGTTGGAGCTAAGTACTACCTCCTGAGCTCGAACCAGTGACTGTGGCTACCCTCCCCCTCCCTGCCACCGCCCAGGGAGTGGAAAAAAGTAGGGGTTAATTACTCTGGTTTCTCGGTGGAGTGGCATCGGGGCCAGGGTTCTGCCACCGCAGTGATAGCGTATGACACCATACTAAGATGATGTGCCAGGGTGATGCCAAAGGCAGGGTGTGATGCCGTGGAAGCCACTTGATATCTAAGAGACCTCAGTCTGGTGACATCACAACTTGATAAGGGTCATCTTAAGGATATCAGGCTGTGGTGCTGGTACTTAAATATCACAATATTCACGATGACATTTAGGCTTTGCTAGAACTATCAAGCTAATAGTGCTTCTTTTTATGGAAATTCAAAATAGTGCCATAGAGTAGTGATGCAAGGCTTATCCTTTATAGGACATATCCAGAAGGGCATTATGCCAAAAGTGGGAAGTGATAAGAATAAATTCAAGAAAGAGACTGATTATGTTTGTTACCATGCTATGGTGTAGAACAGGGCTTGACAAACTTTCTGTAAAGTGCCAGACAGTAAATATTTTAGGCTTTGCAGGCCAAAAAAGATGTTTTGTGGGTACTTTTATGACAAGGGAGAAAGTTTCAGCAAATATTTATTGATGAAATTCAAAGTATAATAATAATAAGAAGAAGAATACTTTTTTGTAATATAGGACTACTAATGAGAAGAATGAACATCTTTTTGGGGAGATAACATTTTGTTTAATTGGGGTTGAAAGTTAATAATGTTCTCTATCATCAAAATTGATTCTGAATCTTCATCTGTTAATGCTGATCTATAATGAGATTTTATCTATTTAGTTTTTGAAATTTTTTTTTATCCAGATAGGTACTGCCAAATACTGATATCAATCCATGAACATATACTTTAGAATTTTTACTTTTTTTTAAATAAAATTGCAGAATAGTTTTAGATTTATAGAAAAGTTACTACGTTAGTACAGAATCCCTATATGCTCCTCACCCAGTTTCCCTTATTTTTTCTATTTTAATAGCTTTATTGATGTACATTTTCTGTATCATAAAAGTCATCTATTTCAAGTGCATAATTAAGTGATTTTTAGTAACTTTATTGAGTGGGGCAGCCATCACCATAAATCACTTTTAGAATTTTTTTTTTTTTTTTTTGAGTTGGAGTCTCACTCTGTTGCCCAGACTGGAGTGCAGTGGCCGCTCCCGGCCACCGCAGCCTCGACCTGCTGGGCTCCGGCGATCCTTCCGCCTCAGTCTTCCAAGTAGCTGGAACGACAGGCACGCGCTACCATGCCCGGCTAATTTTTTTTGATTTATTGTAGAGATCAGGGCTCGCCAAGTTGCCCAGGCGGGTCTCAAACTCACGGGCTCGGGCAATCCACTCACCTCAGTCTCCCAAAGCGCGGGATTACAGGCTGAGCCACTGGGCCCGGCTAGAATATTTTAATCCACTAAATAACATCCCTCATGCCCCTTTAAAGTTGATCCTCCTTCCCACTCCCAGACTCAGGCAATCACTAATCTACTCTTTGGTCTCTATAAATTTGCCTATTCTGGACATTTCATGTAAATGAAATGACACAATATGTGGTCTTTTGTGTCTGGCTTCTTTCTCTTTTTTTAATTTTTTTAAAATTTTTTTATTTTTATTTTTTTTTTGAGTTGGAGTCTCACTCTGTCGCCCAGACTGGAGTGCAGTGGCCGCTCCCGGCCACCGCAGCCTCCTCCTGCTGGGCTCATGCGATTCTTCCACCTCAGCCTTCCAAGTAGCTGGAATTACAGGCATGCGCTACCACACCCAGCTGATTTTTTGATTTATTGTAGAGATGAGGTCTCGCTGCCCAGGCGGGTCTCGAACCCGCGGGCTCAGGCAATCCACTCACCTCAGCCTCCCAAAGGCGCAGGGATTACAGGCTGAGCCACCGAGCCCAGCTTTGGCTTCTTTCACTTAGCGTAATATTTTTTAGGTTTATCCATACCATAGCATGTATCAGTACTTACTTTTTTATTGCCGAATAGTATTCCATTTTATGGTTATAACACATTTTGGTCTATTTACTCACCAGCTGGTAGACACTTAAGTTGTTTCCAATTTTTGGTTATTATGACTAGTAATGCTAAGAATATTCATATGCAAGTCTTTGTGTAGGCATATGTTTTCATTTCTCTTTAGTAGATACCTAAGGGTGGAATTACTGGAGCATAAGGAAAATTTATGTTTAACTTTTTAAGAAACTGCAAAACTATTTCCCAAAGTACAAACACTATTTTGCATTTTGACTAGCAATATTTGAGGGCTCCTGTTTCTCTATATCCTCACGGACATTTGTTATGCACCGTGTTTTTTATTATAGTCATTCTAGGTGAGTGTGAAATGATATATCATCATTGTCATTATATTTCTTAATGACTAATGATGGTGAGCATCTTTTCATGTTTTTATCAGGCATTTGTATATCTTCTTTGGTGAAGTGTCTATTATATCTTTTTTCTTTTTTTTTTTTGAATTGGAGTTTCACTTTGTCACCTAGGCTGGAGTGCAATGGCACGCTCATGGCCACTGCAGCCTCAGCCCGCTGGGCTCAGGCAATCCTCTGCCTCAGTCTTCCAAGTAGCTGGAACTATAGGCACATGCCACCACACGCAGCTAATTTTTTTTATTTATTGCAGAGACAAGGTCTTGCTAACTTGCTGAAACTGTTCTTGAACCCCTAGGCTCAGGCAGTCCTCTTGCCTGGGTCTCCCAAAGTGCTGTGATTACAGGGGTGAGCCACCATGCGCAACTCCTTGTTTCCATTTTTAAATTGGGTTATTGTCTTTTTATTGTTAAGTGATAAGGATTGTTTATATATTTTAGATACAAGTCCCTGTCAGTGTGTGATGTGCACATATTTTCTCCCAGTCTGCTGCTCGTCTTTTCTTTTTCTTAATGGTGTTTTTTGAAGTGAAAAGTTTTGCATTTTGATATGGTCCAATCTATCTTTTTTTTTTTTTTCTTTTATGGACCATACTTTTGATGTTGTACTTAAGAAGTCTTTATCTCTATTATTTTCTCCTATGTTTTTCTCTAAAAGTTTTATTGTTTTATCTATCACATTTAAGTCTGTTTCATTTTAAGTTAATTTTTCTGTGTAGTGTGGGTTAAGAGTCTAAGTTCATCTTTTTGCATATGGATGTAAATATTTTACTGGCACCATTTTCACCATTTTTGGAATCTCCTATTATTAACATCTTATATTGCTGTGTTATATTTGGCACAACTAATAAACCACATTTCATTTAGGCATTGTGTCTCCTTAGCCTCTTCTGACTTGTATCAGTTTCTCAGACTTTTCTTGTTTTGATGACCTTGATAGTGTTTTTTGTTTGTTTGCTTGTTTTTGAGTTAGAATCTCACTCTGTTGTCCAGGCTGGAGTGCAGTGGCACACTCATGGCCACCTCAGCATCGACCTGCTGGGCTCCAGCAATCCTTCCGCCTCAGCCTTCCGAGTAGCCGGAACTACAGGTGCGCACTACCATGCCCAGCTAATTTTTGATTTTTATTGTAGAGACAAGGTCTTGCCAAGGTGCCTGGGCTGATCTCAAATCCGCGGGCTCAAGCAATTCACTTGCCTCAGCCTTTCAAATTGCTGGGATTACAGGCTGAGCCACTAGCCCGGCCGACCTTGATAATTTTAAGGAGTACTGGTTAGGTATTTTGTAGAAAATCCCTCAGTTTATGTTTGTGTGATATGTTTTTAATGATTAGACTGAGGTTATGTTGTTGGATGGAAGTCTACAGAAGTGACGTGCTATTGTCGTCATGTACTATCAAGGGCAAACAAGCATATGGTTTTAATTAAGCATATTCATTGCTTGGAATATAATTCTCTTAAATATTATCTTTTAGTAGATCACTACACTGCAGATTTATCATTTCCAATGGAAGATTTGGTAAAAAACTGCTCGACTGCATAGTTAAATGGATTTTGAAATATGGAAATATCCTTTGCACTTGCCTCAATGTCCAAAATCTGCTGCTGGCACTGTAGTTTGAACTCAGAAAATATATAATGCTACCTATTCTTGCAGAGATGGAGATCTTGCTTCTTGTTTTAACTTTTAAAAAGGCAGCTTTATTGTGGCATAATTTACACATGGTGAATCTTACCTTCTTAGGTGGAAAGTTCAATGCACTTGGGTAAATACATGCTGTTGTGTAACCATTACTACTGTCAAAATATAAGTTCTCTCATGCTTCTTTACTATTAACTATATCCCAAACTTTATTCTCCCCACTCCCACCTCTTGATAACTACTAAACTGACTTCTGAATTTGTAGTTTTGATTTTTAAGTGTACAGTTTAATGATTATAGTGCTTATAGAATTGTGTCACCATCACCCTAAGTTTTTATTTGCTTTGGAATGGGGTCTCTCTCTGTCACCTAGGCTGGAGTGCAGTGGCCTGATCATAGCTCACTGTATCCTTGACCTCCTGGGTTCAAACCATCTTCCTGCCTAAGCCTCCCAAGTAGCTGGGACTACAGGTTTGTGCCACCATACCAAGTTAATTTTACTTTTTGTAGAGACAGGTTCTTGCTCTGTTGCCCATTTGGTCTCGAACTTCTGGACTTAAGTCATTTTCCTGCCTTGGCCTCCCAAGGCAGGAAAATGAGATTATAGGCATGAATCACCATGCCTTGCCTGCCGTCACCACAATCTTAATTTAAATCATTTTCATCACCCCAGAAAGAAAATGTGTGCCTATTTTCAGTTATTCCCTATTTATACCCCCAGCTCTAGGCAATCACTAATATATT